TAGCAATGATCAACAACCAACTTGACAGAGCTTGAAGAATTGTTTTAAGAATGAAGGCACTATATGTAAGAGGAAATTGAAGTTATAAAAGCCAATTATTGTTATTATATTCCTTATTCTTATCATCCCAGTCCCTGCTGCTGAGAAACATCCCCACAGCATGATGCTGCTACCACCATGGTTCATGGTAGGGATGGTGCCAGGTTTCCTCCAGATGTGACACTTGGCATTCAGGCCAAGTGGATAATCAGGGATACGTGGAAGGTAGGATGGATCCTGAGAGAGGCTGGGAGTTTCAGGCGCACCGCAGAGGGGTTAATGACATGGTCAATTTCAAAGGGAACAATGAATCGGGGGGAAAGTTTCTTCGATGCCACCTTCAATGGCAGGTCCTTCGATGAGAGCCATACCTTTTGACCCGGGGTGTAGACTGGAGCTGAGGCAGAAGAAGAAGGGCAGTACTTCCAGGTACGGTGACAATGGCACAGATGGTCCTGGACAGAGGGAACCACAACCTCAACCTCTTGGGCGGGAAACAAGGGGGGTTGGTAACCCAGAGCACACTCGAAGGGTGACATACCTGACGAGGCGTTGGTGAGGGTGTTGTGGGCATATTCAACCCAGGGTAGCTGAGCGCTCCAGGAGGAAGGGTTAGCAAAAGTCACACAGCGTAGGGCAGTCTCCATCACTTGGTTGGCCCGTTCGGTCTGGCCGTTAGTCTGGGGGTGATATCCAGAAGAAAGACAGTGATACCAAGAGCTAAACAGAAGGATCTCCATTCCTGGGAGGTAAACTGGGGTCCTCTGTCGGAAACGATATCAGTGGGGATGTCATGCAGACGAAACACATGGGATACTAACAGGTCCGCAGTCTCCCTGGAGGACGGGAGCTTGGAGAGGGGAATGAAGTGAGCCATTTAGGAAAACCTGTCAATAATGGTGAGGATGACGGAGTTACCATTAGATGGGGGAAGGCCAGTGACGAAGTCCAGAGCTATGTGTGACCAGGGGCGACTGGGTATGGGAAGAGGGTGGAGCAGACCGGAAGTGGGTTTAGTCAAGGTTTTGTTCCGGGCACAAACCCAACAGGCTGAGATTAACTCAGTCACCATGGTGGGCCACCAAAAGCGCTGACGCAGGAAGTAGAGGGTCTGGTTCATACCAGGGTGACAGGTGAGGTGGGTAGAATGGCCCCACTGAAGAACATCAGAGTAAACACAATCTGGGACAAACAGAGCATTACTAGGACCGTTACCCGGGTCAGGCTGGTTCTGCTGAGCCTGGCGGATACGGGACTCGATCTCCCAGGTGACGGCGGCAACGATACAGGTGGATGGCACAATGGCTTCTGGCTCAGTACCTATGTTGTTGTTGGTGAACTGGCGAGAGAGGGCATCAGGCTTGGTATTCTTCGAACCGGGGCGATAAGTTAGTGTGAAATTGAATCTACCGAAGAACAAGGCCCACCTGGCGTGCCGGGAGTTCAGACGTTTGGCGGTCTGGATGTAGGACAGGTTTTTATGGTCAGTCCACACGATGAAGGGGGTTACAGAGCCCTCCAGCCAATGACGCCATTCCTCCAGAGCCAGCTTAACTGCCAGGAGTTCCCGGTTTCCGATGTCAAAATTCCTCTCTGCAGGTGAGAGCTTAAGGGAAAAGAATGCACATGGGTGGACCTTCTGATCAGAGGGGGAACGTTGAGACAGAACAGCACCTACCCCGGTGTCAGAGGCCACCACCTCCACGATGAACTGGAGTTCTGGGTCGCGCTGAGTAAGGACCGGAGCGGAGGTGAAGCGACGCTTGAGTTCCAGGAATGCTGCGTCTGCCGCAGGAGTTCAGTGGAACGGAGTGGAGGTGGAGGTGAGAGTGGTGAGAGGTGCTGCCAAATGGCTGTAGTGGCGGATGAAACGTCTGTAAAAATGTGCAAACCCCAGGAAACGCTGTAGCTGCTTCAGGTTGGAGGGCGCAGGCCACTCTGTGACTGCCATGACCTTGGTGGGGTCCCTACGTAACTGTCCCTGTGCAATAATATAACCCAGGAAAGACACTGTGGCAGCATGGAACTCACATTTTTCAGCTTTAACAAGAAGCTTATTCTCCAACAGCCGTTGAAGAACTTGGCGAACGTGTTGCTGGTGAGCCTCAGGGTCCTTGGAAAAAATCAGGATGTCATCTAAATAGACAAAAATGAAGCATCCAATCACATCCCTCAGCACGTCATTGACTAGACAGCAGGGGCGTTAGTAAGACCAAAAGGCATGACCAAATACTAAAAGTGACCAAGTGGTGTGTTGAACGCAGTCTTCCACTCGTCCTCCTCTCTTATGCGGACAAGGTGGTAGGCATTCCGGAGGTCGAGTTTGGTAAACACCATGGCACCATGGAGTGGGGCAAAAGCAGAGCTGATGAGTGGCAAGGGGTACTTGTTCTTAACAGTGATATTATTCAGCCCACGGAAGTCTATGCACGGCCTCAGTGACCCATCCTTCTTCTTCACAAAGAAAAACCCAGCACCCACCGGGGAGGAAGATGTCTTGATAAGTTCTGCAGCCAGAGAATCCTGGATGTACCTCTCCATAGCCTCTTGCTCGGGACGAGAGAGGTTAATCAACCGGCTACTGGGGAGAGGAGCTCCAGGCTGGAGGTCAATGGCTCAGTCGTACGGCCAATGAGGCTGCAGCGACAGGGCGTGGTGCTTGCTGAACACAGGAGCTAGATCGTGATTGTCACACCCTGGCTCTGGGACTCATTATGTTGAGCCAGGGTGTGTTCATTTCTATGTGTGTATTTCTGTGTTGGTGTTCATTCTAGTTTGTTGTATTCTATGTTTGCCTGAGTGACTCCCAATCAGAGGCAACGAGTGTCAGCTGTTGGCTGGTTGTCTCTGATTGGGAGCCATATTTAACTGTATGTTTTCCCTTTGTGGTTGTGGGTTTTTGTTCCGTGTTCGGTCATTGATACCGTGGACGTCACGAGTCGTGTTTTGTTTTGTATTTTGATGCTTTAACTAATTAAAGTATGTTTGTTCATCACGCTGCGCCTTGGTCTACTCCTTACCTCGATCGTGACAGAAAAACCCACCATGCAACGACCAAGCAGCGTGTCCAGGGGCAGCCCTTGGGGTGGACATGGGAGGAAGCGCCGGGAAAGGCCCTGGCGAAAGAGGAGCAGCGTGTCCAGGAGCAGGCAGCCTGGACATGGGAGGAGATATTGGACGGTAAAGGGTCCTGGACTTGGGGGGAAATCCTGGCCGGGATGGATCGCCGGCCATGGAGTGAGACAGTGGAGAGGCGACGGAGAGAGGAGCAACGGCGTGATCAGGGTCGTCGTCGGACGGTCGTGAGGCAACCCCAGAAAATTTTTAGGGGGGGGCACACGGCATGGACGACGGGGCTGACGGAGGAGAAAAGGGGGCGGATCCAGAAGGCCACCAGGCCAGGGGTTCACCGCCCTGTACGTCCTGTGCGGATGCCTCACACAGAGTGTGTGAGGGTAGGCATTCAGCCAGGACGGGTGGTGGCCGCTCTTCACTCCAGGCCTCCTATCCGTCTCCACAGCCCGGTTCGGCCTGTCCCTGCTCCACGCACCAAGCCTACGGTGTGCGTCGCCAGCCCAGCCCGGCCTGTCTCTGCTCCACGCACCAAGCCTACGGTGTGCGTCGCCAGCCCAGTCCGGCCTGTCCCTGCTCCACGCACCAAGCCTACGGTGTGCGTCGACAGCCCAGCCCGGCCTGTTCCTGCTCCACGCACCAAGCCTACGGTGTGCGTCGCCAGCCCGACCCGGCCTGTTCCTGCCACTCGCACCAAACCTACGGTGCGCGTCTCCAGCCCGGTCCGGCCTGTTCCTGCCACCCGCACCAAGTCTACGGTGCGCGTCGCCAGCCCGACCCGGCCTGTTCCTGCCACTCGCACCAAACCTACGGTGCGCGTCGCCAGCCCGGTCCGGCCTGTTCCTGCCACCCGCACCAAGTCTACGGTGCGCGTCGCCAGCCCGACCCGGCCTGTTCCTGCCACCCGCACCAAGTCTACGGTGCGCGTCGCCAGCCCGACCCGGCCTGTTCCTGCCACTCACACCAAACCTACGGTGCGCGTCGCCAGCCCGGTCCGGCCTGTTCCTGCCACCCGCACCAAGTCTACGGTGCGCGTCGCCAGCCCGACCCGGCCTGTTCCTGCCACTCGCACCAAACCTACGGTGCGCGTCGCCAGCCCGGTCCGGCCTGTTCCTGCCACTCGCACTAAGCCAGGGGTGCGAGAAGTCAGCCTGGTAAGGCCCGTTCCTTCTCCACGCACCAAGCCAGGGGTGCGAGTCGTCAGCCTGGTAAGGCCCGTTCCTCCTCCACGCACCAAGCCAGGGGTGCGCGTCGTCAGCCTGGTAAGGCCCGTTCCTCCTCCACGCACCAAGCCAGGGGTGCGAGTCGACAGCCTGGTAAGGATCGCTCCTGTTAAGTCCAGTCCTGCTCCAGCCGGCGGGGCCAGACTGGACCAGGGGCACTATGGGGGGTGTATTGGAGGGTGGTGGTCAAGGCCGGAGCCAGAACCGCCGCCGAGGAGGTATGCCCGCCCAGCCCTCCCCTGGTTTGTTTAGTTGAGGCGCGGTCGCAGTCCGCGCCTTTAGGGGGGGGGTACTGTCACACCCTGGCTCTGGGACTCATCATGTTGAGCCAGGGTGTGTTCATTTCTATGTGTGTATTTCTGTGTTGGTGTTCATTCTAGTTTGTTGTATTCTATGTTTGCCTGAGTGTGATACTCGGGAGGAACTGATGACAGGTCCGGAGGTTCTGGAATGAACTGGGGCGCAGACAAGGCAGGGGGAAGGGCATAATGTAAACAATTAGAGTGACAAAATGAACTCCAAGTGGTTACCTTTCCAGCGGTCCAGTCAATCTGTGGGTTGTGTAGCTTTAACCATGGGAGAGTAAGGACAGTCGATTATGTGGAAACTGATCTTTTACTGGTGATTTCCAGAGAGACACAGGATGACCGGGACGGTTCTCTCACAGGCATGGGTGAGGAGCTGTCCATTGAGAGCGTTGGCATCGAGGGGTGAATCGAGTGGGACAGCGTCCAGGCCCAACTGGGTAACGACACCTCGGTCCAGGAAGCTCTCGTCGGCGCCCGAATCGATGAGAGCAGACAGAGGAAAAGCCTGGCTCTGCCACACAAGGTTGCCTTCAAGCAGGGGTCTGGGGGAAGATGGGCATGTGATTTGGCTCAACAGTATATCCCCCACTACTACCGAGCCCCCCTCTTTTGCTGGACGCAGGGAACAAGTGGAGACAAAGTGACCAACCTGGCCACAGTATAGGCAGCTCCTAGCGCCGATTCGTCGTTGCCTTCCTCTGGAGAGAGACGGGCCCGGCCGAGCTGCATGGGTTCAGGATCTGGACGAGCCTGGGGGATGGGATGCAGTTGGAGAAGGAGGACAAGGCACTGAAGCAGATGTCATGGGACATGCAACCCTACCTACCCTCTCCCTCCAACGCTCCCAGAGACGGTTGTCGATGCGGATAGCGAGAGAGATGAGTTCATCAAGTCCATCAGGCTCATCCCTGGACATCAACTCGTCCTTGAGGGTCTCAGTGAGCGCGTTCCGGAATGCTCCCTGAAGGGCCTCCTCATTCCAGCCGCTCTCAGCGGCGAGGGTGTGGAACTCAAATGCCATCTCAGCAACACTATGGGGGCCTTGACGGAGGGACAGGAGTCGTTTAGCGGCATCCTTACCACAGACCGGGTGGTCGAAGACTTTCTTCATCTCCTCCGTGAATCTGGAGTAGGAGAAGCAGATGAAGGACTGTCTCTCCCAAACCGCCGTGGCCCAGGAAAGCGCTGCTCCACGGAGGCAGCCAATCAGAAAGGAAATCTTGGCCCATTCGCTAGCAAATGAGTAGGGCTGTTGCTCAAGTACTAGTGAACATTGTACCAAAAAGGCTCTGCAGGCTCTGAGGTTGCCATCGTAACACTCGGGAGTCGGAACAAACGGCTCCCGGAGCGGAGGAGAAGGACTTGGAACTTGTTGTGAGCTCTGGGCGAAGGGTCGGCCCTGTAGGTCAGACAGGCTCTGTGAAAACTCCTTGATGTGTTCCAGAAGGGTCTTCAGGGCTTGGTCATGTTGCTCAAGCAGGGCGTCTTGGCCGGCAAGGGTTTGGTGGAGAGTAGCAGAGTCTGCTGGGTTCATCTCTTTGGCCAGACCGTACTGTTACGCGGAGTGGAACAGGGGAACCCAAGAGCAGACTCAGACGAGGAGACTGGTATGAAGTAACCAAGGTATTTATTGAAACACAGGGGGGAGATGGAGAGCAGGTCAGGGGAAACTGCTGGAAACCAGGTGCGGAGGCTGCGGCTGGAGCGAGGGGGGTTGAGACAGGGTGAGCAGGTCCGGAGGGGAATCCAAGGGAGTAGTAGAGTGGGGAATCCAGGACAGAGTAGCAGGATGACGAGACGTGGGACTGGAGACAGGGACCAGAGTCAGAGCGGGCAGAACTGTAGCGGAGAGGAAAACAGCGTCAGGCAAGGAAAACAGGCACAACAGGATAACAGGATATGAATAGTAACAAATGGCTGGAACCGTAGACTGACTGAGCAGAGATTACGATCTGACAGTGTGGAAGTGGCAGGACTGAGTATTTGTAGAGGTCTTGATTATGGAGCAGGTTGCAGCTGGTGGGGATCTGCTCTGACTCCAACTGTCTCTGCCCACACAATCACACACACACGAAGAGAGAGAGAGGGAGAGGGAGAGAGTACTGGGGGAGTGGCGGCAGGTCAAGGAGACACAGGATGAGCAATAGAGGGCATTGCAGGAGCAGATGTGAAAGATCTAGGGTTTATATACATCATTGGTTGATACTCGCTCAGCGCCTTCACAACCCTCGTGGTGTTACCATGGCGAGGGGCAGACATCTAGCTGACTCGGCTGAGTGGGTCTTGCACACAGGCAGGTGGATGGGATAGTTTATCACAGATAAGCTTTGGAACTCTTGCCTCTGCCAATTCCTTTACTTCATTTCTTTTCTTGCCAGTTTTTGTAAATAATCTCAGTGAATATACGACGTGTTGAATTGTGGCCCGTAAACTCATCACAATAAATGTTGAAGTGCATGTCTCTTTTACAATGACATACTTCCTAAATGTGTTACTCATCCGAATGCATACAGCTGTTGAGGATGTACAGTATATCGTTTGCTGTGTGGTCCTGTCAGATAGAAAAACATAACTAGAGCCCTAATGGTTTGAAATTATTTGCACATTCATTTGCAAACAATTTCCATTTGTGTTTGAGTGTATTGAGGTTACATGACAGAATATACAGATAAAAATATCGTTTGTTATCTGTGTCACAGGAGGAGTAAGGCCTGAAGGCAGAAAGTGTTCAACATTTTTATCTCATGAAGAGATACAGATATCAGCACCTGATCAGTTCACATCATATAAGACAAGCTTGGGTAACATTTCATTTTAAGGGGTCCTTATTATAGTATTGTAATTAATTGTAATAATTCATAGTTACACTGTAATAACAACATGTAACTGGTGGTAATTGCAATATGTAATTACACAGGTGTAACAACGAATGCTTGTTACCATTCTTGTTACAAATGTTAAAGTTTACGATAGCATCCCAACGCTCCATATTTCAGCCTGCACAAACCACGTGATAAGTTTTAGCAATTTGAAAACCGACCAACTCATTGACACAACTCTGCAATAAAGGACTCTGGAGTCTAATTACGTTGTACTTGCAGATATTACATGTAATCTGTGGTGTACTAGTGCGTTTATCCTCCCACTTGGATGGTGCGTCTGGAAGCCTTAAAATTAGGGCCAGGTTGTCAGGATGGCTAACGTACTACAGTGCCTTGCAAAAGTATTCATCCCCCTTGGCGTTTTTCCTATTTTGTTGCATTACAACCTGTAATGTAAATGGATTTTGATTTTGATTTCATGTAATGGACATACACAAAATAGTCCAAATTGGTGAAGTGGAATGAAAAAAATTACTTGTTTCAAAAAATTGCCAAAAAATAAATAACGGAAAAGTGGTGCATGCATATGTAGTCAATCCCTTTGCTATGAAGCGCCTAAATAAGATCTGGTCACATAATTAGTTAAATAAAGTCCACCTGTGTGCAATCTAAGTGTCACATGATCTGTCACATGATCTCAGTATATACACACCTGTTCTGAAAGGCCCCAGAGTCTGCAAAACCACTAAGCAAGGGGCACCACCAAGCAAGCGGCACCATGAAGACCAAGGAGCTCTCCAAACAGGTCAGGGACAAAGTTGTGGAGAAGTACAGATCAGGGTTGGGTTATAAAAAAATATCAGAAACTTTGAACATCCCACGGAGCACCATTAAATCCATTATTTAAAAAATTTAAAGAATATGGCACCACAACAAACCTGCCAAGAGAGGGCCTCCCACCAAAACTCACGGACCAGGCAAGGAGGGCACAATCAGAGAGGCAACAAAGAGACCAAAGATAACCCTGAAGGAGCTGCAAAGCTCCACAGCAGAGATTGAAGTATCTGTCCATAGGACCACTTTAAGCCGTACAATCCACAGAGCTGGGCTGTATGGAAGATTGGACAGAAAAAAGCCATTGCTTACAAAAAAAAAGAAGCAAACATGTTTGGTGTTCACCAAAAGCCATGTGGGAGACTCCCCAAACATATGGAAGAAGGTACTCTGGTCAGATGAGACTAAAATTAAGCTTTTTGGCCATCAAGGAAAACGCTATGTCTGGCGCAAACCGAAAACCGCTCATCACCCCGAGAACACCATCCCGACAGTGAAGCATGGTGGTGGCAGCATCATGCTGTGGGGTTGTTTTTCATCGGCAGGGACTGGGAAACTGGTCAGAATTGAAGGAATGATGGATGGCGCTAAATACAGGGAAATTCTTGAGGGAAACCTGTTTCAATCTTCCAGAGATTTGAGACTGGGACGGAGGTTTATCTTCCAGCAGGACAATGACCCTAAGCATACTGCTAAAGCGACACTTGAGTGGTTTAAGGGGAAACATTGAAATGTATTGGAATGGCCTAGTCAAAGCCCAGACCTCAATCCAATTGAGAATCTGTGGTAAGACTTAAAGATGGTGAATAGTTATGCACGCTCAAGTTTTCTGTTTTTTTGTCTTATTTATTGTTTGTTTCACAAGAAAAAATATTTTGCATGTTCAAAGTGGTAGACTTGTTGTGTAAATCAAATGATACAAACCCCCCCAAAATTCCATTTTAATTCCAGGTTGTAAGGCAACAAAATAGGAAAAATGCCAAGGGGGGTGAATACTTTCGCAAGCCACTGTATTTAAGAACACATTCATTACAAGTAAGTACCCCTCAAGATACACTTTATTTTAACTAGCTCAATCCTGCGTAACGCCTAGTAATTACATTGTACTTATGTAGATATTACATTTACTCCGTGGTGTACTTGTAGGTTTATCCTCTCACTTGGGTGGCAAGGAGGTCCAGGTTGTCATAATGGATAACGTACACATTTATTATACATATTTTTATTTAATTTAATATATAACCTGGGATGACACCCATATGGTAGACCCCAGTCAGTGAGGTTGTCCCATACCTGATCTGTTATTGTAAGCTCAACCAAGTTAACCTAGATGGTACACCTTTTGGGGGCAAGTGCTAGCTACAACATTGACTGGAGATTTAGAAGAGTGCACATTCACGGGTAGATAATTAGAGCCTATTGAGCCTCCAACCTTTGTAATCTCGGACACCCAGTGCATCTGTCCACAAGAGATTACAATCTTGTGAGTTATTACTGAATCGGATGCAGCTGAGATGAAACAAAACACTAAATTGGTGAATTTAGTGGAAACTAAAAAGCATGGTAACAAGCGTTTGTTGTTAGCCCTCTGTAATTACAGACTGCAATTACCACCAGTTACATGTTATTATTACAGTGTAACTATGAGTTGTTACAATTAACTACAATACTTGTAATAAGGACTCCTTAAAATGAAGTGTTACTGAAGCTTGTTTTTGAGTGCAGTGCAGCTCACCAGTCCCAGACATTATATGATGCTTCTGTTCAGTTCAAACATTCAAAACAGTTCCAAATCATTGCATATAAAAACTGTGGACTAACCCTAACGCAGCAATGATGGAGTGGCGTGAGGAAGATAGAAGATCTACACTTGATCTAGGCCTCGACATGTGATACATGGTGGAAATAATCACAGGTGACCACCTGTCAAATATTGCACAAGTTTTGTGTTGGCAGGTATGACCATTTAGAGGTATCAATTTTGTTTTTTGCCACTGTCATAAAAGTCTCATGAAAAACATCAGATGAAGTCATGCACAAACCAATGTCTGCCAAGTATCTTAACAGCATAATCTATGGCTCTCTGAATAGCACTTAAGCAGAGGCCAGGCTGTCAACAAACAAATAGCGATTGCATCCCACTGGGCACACACTGGTTGAATCAACATTGTTTCCACATAATTTCAATGAAATCAAGTTGGACCAATGTGGAATAGACATAGAATTGACATCTGTGCCCAGTGTGATATGATCATGAAGAGAGGGAGTGCATCCACGCCAGTGTATTTCCCTCTAGGCAGGGAAAAGGCATAAGATCCTAATTGGGTAAGTCTACTTTACTAGCATTTTCATTGTTTCAACAAGTGGAAAGGGGATGGGGTTGGGGAATTTCTTTCTGGGAACGGTCCTCTGCCCCGTGACAGTAGTCACGCCCCCTGGTCCCATGGCTGGGGTGAGCTACTGTGCTGGGCTCCCCTCTCTGTCCCCTGGCCTAGTGTGCTTCTGTTTGGCAGGGCCCGCTACCAAGGCCCGGCGGGACACCAGCAAACGTGGGCTTCTCTTGTCCAGCTCTCCTCTCAGAGAGGGGCATCCATGCTAAACTAAGGCGTAATTTCACCCTGCTCCTTGAAAATACCATAAATACACGTACAGCTGGGTCTGACAAAGTTTTCATTGTGGAAATAGTCTGAATTGGATTTTGAAACACACGTGGAATTATGAACACCAGTCTTTATAGACTATATTCTAGTTCATGTGCCTTATAGAAAGTTTACCAACATTTTCTTCCCCCCTCGTCTAAAGAACAGCATCTAGACTTTAGATATTAATTGTATGTCTATTGACTTTTACTTTCACAACCATGAATCCGATAGACAACACAGCTGTCATGTGAACAACTTCAGAGGGCACGCTTGACAAGTGGTTAGAGGATTACTTCTATAATGAACATTTCATGGTGTCAGACAGAGGCTGGAGGCATTGTAGTAAGTTATCTGGACAGACCTATCAGAAAGGAGCTGATGGAGGACTCAGGAAGTCAGCCTTTAGTTCCTCTCCATCCTATCAACACAGATCCAATCATGTGTTTCTGGGTGCAGACTTCTTTATAACATGATCATACCACAGAGATAATGCCACATCCACCGACTCTACAGTAGGCCATGAATTAACCCCCATATGTGATTTCGAATTCACCGTGATGTGCGTCACACTGGTCAAGGAATGTCAATTTTCCGGTCCTCCTTTTATTATTGTCATTTTCCTTTCTTCTTAATAAACATGTAATTTTGTGCCATGATTGATGGACTTTTTATGACTATTATTACTTTCCCCTGTTTCTACTGCAATGGCCGATGGCTAAACCAGGCGGCGTCCAACCCCCGCGGTGCCAATAAAGCTGACACGCTGACGGTAAAGGCCTCTCCTGCTGGGCTTCCTCTCTGTCCAGCTCCTCTCTGTTTCCTCCTGTGATTCCCATTATGCCATCACACAGCTCCCAGAGACCATTCACTTCTCCTATTCGCTTTCCTTCTCACAAAACCCACTGTTGCACACTATTCCAATCAATTAGAATAAAAGGCTTGTGGTTCAGGTATGAAAGAGGGTATTATTCAGTCTAGACTCTGGAAGGTATGTAATAGACATACCTGGGGCTACGTGGTCAGTTTATTTGCTTACCAGAAACAAAGGGGTACCCCTTTTTAGCCAAGGGAAATATGTTGTTACCACATCACCTTTTTTTATGTGTTTCTGGTTTGTATGTTTTATACATCCCATGAAAGTATGTATCTGGAGCAGTTTAACTCACCCCATGATGTTGACCTCTGATATGAGGACAAAATAGGTAGACAGGAGGGTCACATAAGGAGAAAGGAGGGTCATGTGGTGTGAAAGTATCAGAAAGCAGACCTTTAGTTTGAGTTTGCATGGTAAACAGGAAGCAGCCGCAGCATCCCTGTGTGTGGGTGTAAGACAGCAGAATAATATATGTAGATATGTTCACACAGGTCATAGGGAGAAGAGAAGCCAACTGTTTCATTGCTTTGCTGGTATATAGTAATAACCTGCTATTATTATGTTATGAACTGAAATCTACTGAAGCAAGTAGAAACAAATTGCACCATGCCAAAGGGGGAGAAATGCAAAATGTGTAAGATTAATGGAAATTCCTAAAAGTGATTTAGAATTAAATCCTTGAGTCAGACAGGTTGTCACACCCTGGCTCTGGGACTCATTATGTTGAGCCAGGGTGTGTTCATTTCTATGTGTGTATTTCTATGTTGGTGTTCATTCTAGTTTGTTGTATTCCATGTTTGCCTGAGTGACTCCCAATCAGAGGCAACGAGTGTCAGCTGTTGGCTGGTTGTCTCTGATTGGGAGCCATATTTAAACTGTATGTTTTCCCTTTGTGGTTGTGGGTTTTTGTTCCGTGTTCGGTCATTGATACCGTGGACGTCACGAGTCGTGTTTTGTTTTGGTATTTTGACGCTTTAACTAATTAAAGTCATGTTTGTTCATCACGCTGCGCCTTGGTCTACTCCTTACCTCGACCTTGACAGAAAAACCCACCATGCAACGACCAAGCAGCGTGTCCAGGGGCAGCTCTTGGGCTGGACATGGGAGGAAGCGCCGGGAGAAGAGACGGTGGAGGCGCGCCGTAGAGAGGAGCTACGGCGTGATCAGGGTCGTCGTCGGACGGTCGTGAGGCAACCCCAGAAAATTTTTAGGGGGGGGCACACGGCATGGACGACGGGGCTGACGGAGGAGAAAAGGGGGCGGATCCAGAAGGCCACCAGGCCAGGGGTACACCGCCCTGTACGTCCTGTGCAGATGCCTCACACAGAGTGTGTGAGGGTAGGCATTCAGCCAGGACGGGTGGTGGCCGCTCTTCACTCCAGGCCTCCTATCCGTCTCCACAGCCCGGTTCGGCCTGTCCCTGCTCCACGCACCAAGCCTACGGTGTGCGTCGCCAGCCCAGTCCGGCCTGTCCCTGCTCCACGCACCAAGCCTACGGTGTGCGTCGACAGCCCAGCCCGGCCTGTCCCTGCTCCACGCACCAAGCCTACGGTGTGCGTCGACAGCCCAGCCCGGCCTGTCCCTGCTCCACGCACTAAACCTACGGTGCGCGTCGCCAGCCCGGTCCGGCCTGTTCCTGCCACCCGCACCAAGTCTACGGTGCGCGTCGCCAACCCGACCCGGCCTGTTCCTGCCACTCGCACCAAACCTACGGTGCGCGTCGCCAGCCCGGTCCGGCCTGTTCCTGCCACCCGCACCAAGTCTACGGTGCGCGTCGCCAGCCCGACCCGGCCTGTTCCTGCCACTCGCACCAAACCTACGGTGCGCGTCGCCAGCCCGGTCCGGCCTGTTCCTGGCACTCGCACTAAGCCAGGGGTGCGAGAAGTCAGCCTGGTAAGGCCCGTCCCTCTTCCACGCACCAAGCCAGGGGTGCGAGTCGTCAGCCTGGTAAGGCCCGTTCCTCCTCCACGCACAAAGCCAGGGGTGCGCGTCGTCAGCCTGGTAAGGCCCGTCCCTCCTCCAAGCACCAAGCCAGGGGTGCGAGTCGTCAGCCTGGTAAGGCTCGTTCCTCCTCCACGCACCAAGCCAGGGGTGCGAGTCGACAGCCTGGTAAGGATCGCTCCTGTTAAGTCCAGTCCTGCTCCAGCCGGCGGGGCCAGACTGGACCAGGGGCACTATGGGGGGTGTATTGGAGGGTGGTGGTCAAGGCCGGAGCCAGAACCGCCGCCGAGGAGGTATGCCCGCCCAGCCCTCCCCTGGTTTGTTTAGTTGAGGCGCGGTCGCAGTCCGCGCCTTTAGCGGGGGGTACTGTCACACCCTGGCTCTGGGACTCATTATGTTGAGCCAGGGTGTGTTCATTTCTATGTGTGTATTTCTATGTTGGTGTTCATTCTAGTTTGTTGTATTCTATGTTTGCCTGAGTGACTCCCAATCAGAGGCAACGAGTGTCAGCTGTTGGCTGGTTGTCTCTGATTGGGAGCCATATTTAAACTGTATGTTTTCCCTTTGTGGTTGTGGGTTTTTGTTCCGTGTTCGGTCATTGATACCGTGGACGTCACGAGTCGTGTTTTGTTTTGGTATTTTGACGCTTTAACTAATTAAAGTCATGTTTGTTCATCACGCTGCGCCTTGGTCTACTCCTTACCTCGACCTTGACACAGGTCTGATACTTGCATGACAGTCCATGATCCAATCTTTGACCCTGAAGTTCAATTCCAATCTAAAATGATTTTTCCACTTGGATAAATTGTACATCAACCTCCAAAGATTATTATTTTCAACGAGAATGCAGATGTTGAGCACTGGTATTTTACGACCCATACCTTTCAAGTCATTTTCTACTTTAATTTTGCTAAACCGAAAATAGCCTTTTAGAACCCACAAGCTACCAAGATACATCATTAACTGCTTTCGATTTATGCCATACATGAATATGTCTAATAGTGGTATAGTTTTATTTGGATTTCTGGTTGGAAGTGGAATGACTGACCATGATGTTCACTGTCATCTATGGAGGTTAATATAATATAAGAGAGTCTAGTCACTTGATCCTTTAGTTTTCTACCCAAAGGACTCTAATGCCTTCTTCATACCAGACAAACCTCTCAGATCACAAAGCACTGGGTACAATGAACCCTAAAATCAAACAATTCACATTTCGATACACTCTCTTTTGACTGGGGTTAAGTTTAAATAATGTTACCTCTGGGGCCCGATGGCAGAAAAAGAGACTTATAAGAGCCATGACTTTGAACAGGGAATGGGAATCTTCAAGGCTGTCTGCTGCTTTTACCTGAGTGGCATTGGATTGTAAATTATGACAGATGTATGTATGTGCATCACAGGCCACCATATGGCCTGATTTATGCTAAATGATGCACCAGTAGACTCAATTATGAGTCAGCCTTGGGTCACACACAATAAGTGACTTTCACATCATATAAATCTATCAAAACATAAATCATCATCACAGGATATTTGTTCAATGTCACCCACAAAGGTGTTCTCTTGTTACAGCAGAAAACGGTTCTCAAAAAGAATCCATGCGTTTATGTGCTTTCCTTTCAGTCCCATGATGCTCTGAAAGACCCCTTCAGTCCATAACAACTAGCCTAGCTATAGTTTCAACATTACTGCTATTGGTGTCTTGCTTGTGGCGCTTTGAAGGAAGTAAATGCAAATATATCAACCTCAAATGAAAGAGGATGACATGCACACAAAGGGAAAGGGTTTAAGCTCTGTCATTCATCACTCTCAGTGTCAATCACTCAAAATATATGCATAGATGATTAGTTCCTGGTCTCCTCCAAGGCCTATTTAAAGCTGAAGTGTAATAAGAGACAGTGAATGACATTTCTCACAGGTCTCCAATCACACCAATTGCTCAGCTGAACTCCATTTACTATGGGCATTCCATTGAACCTGGGTACTCTGCTGCTGATACTCCTCTTCTACACACAAGGTAAAGAAAGCAAATACCTAGACCGTATATGTACAGTGAGCTCCAAAAGTATTGGAACAGTGAGATATTTGTTGTTGTTGTGGCTCTGTACTCCAGTGCTTTGGATGATACAATGACTATGTGGTTAAAGTGCAGATTGTCAGCTTTAATTTGAGGGTATTTTCATCCATATCGGGTGAACCGTTTAGAAATTACAGCACTTTTTGTACATAGTCCCCCCCCATTTACATTTTAGTCATTTAGCAGACGCTCTTATCCAGAGCGACTTACAGTTAGTGAGTGCATACGTTTTTTTATTGTAAATAAGAGTAGAATATGTTTCTAAACACTTCTACATTAATGTGGATGCTACCGTGATTACGGATAATCCTGACTGAATCGTGAATAATGATGAGTGAGAAAGTTACAGAGGCATAAACATATTCTATTTTTATTTACAATAAAAGTGACTCCAAAATGACACAATACATTATTTACAATTCATTTCTATTGGGCACAAAATAATCTGAAACACAACCAAAACAAACAGCAAATGCTTCCAACAAATGTTTACAGTCACAAGCTTGATGTAGTTCTTAAATATGGGACCAAATAAGTTTTACTACTTTAATACAGTGAATTTGTCCCAATACCTTTGCTCCCCTAAAATGGGGGGACTATGTACAAAAAGTGCTGTAATTTCTAAATGGTTCTAGATGGAAATACCCTCAAATTAAAGCTGACAGTCTGCACTTTAATCTCATAGTCATTTTATCATTTCAAATCCAATGTGCAGTACAGAGCCAAAATAACAAAAATGTGTCAGTCCCAATACTTTTGGTGCTCAATGTATGTATTGATTCAGGGTATTGTTGTACTTTTGCAGTCTACTACTACTAATCCAAACCTGTACTGTATCAGGTATTAAGCAAGAAGAAGGTATCAAGTAAGAAGAAAAATGCACAATGTCTGGTGTGTTAGATATTATGGGTTGAGAGTGGATCCTGATTGTTGATGTTGTCACAGTGCACGCAGGGCGTATCTATGGGGGCAAGGAGGCTGTGCCCCACAGCAGACCCTACATGGTGCTCCTGGAGAAGGCTGTCTCCAAAAACCGGAAGGCAGGAAGCTGTGGTGGTTTTCTAGTGAGAGAGGACTTTGTGATGACTGCCGCCCACTGCAATGGGGGGTCAGTAATGTCTGCTTATCTAGTGAGGGAAAACCAAGGGCAAATATATGTGGAGCCCGTTGGGCCCCATTATCTGCCCTATAAATGCTTTAACTGTTTCTCCTTAATACTCAGTACCTTATAGCTATATGCATAGAATTAGAATTCTGCCAGAGGAAGTGCAAAATTGATGCTGGTCAAACTGCAATTTCTATTGGAATGTTTTGTGAATCTCACCAACTAAATTTTAATAGGCTACCATTTCAATGTCTCTAGGTTTTTCACACCTGAATATCTTTACTGTTTTTAGCCTAGGGCTATCCTACCCTAACGTTGCATTTACACATTTTGACATAATGTATTTCTAACATCCACTTTGGAGCATTTAGACGTGAAACACAGCTTAGCCCAGGGCTAAGACCTCCAATAGCCAAAGGCTGGGATAAAAGGTGCAGTATGAAAAACCTACCAATAAATGTAATAATGCACCATTAAGATATATTGCAGACTATTTAACCCTTAAACAAAAAACACATGATTTCAATTGTGGAAAATAACATGATTTCACATGACAATTCACATATGAAATCATGTGAAACGTGTTTTTGGAACACTTTACGTGATCACGTTTTCACGTGTAGTTTCATGTTATCACATGTTACTTTACATGTTGTCACGTTATCACATTAACTTCCCGTAAGATCACGTGATCACATGAAAACGTGTTTTCTGAACACTTCACATGTGATCACGTGAAATTCATGTGGTTTTTCCGTAAGGGAAATGTCAGAGCACGTGTTGAACCAAGCGGAGAGCAAGGCTATACAGTAGATTTACATTACGTTTTCAATCAGCATCCGTGTTAGTCCACTAGTGTCAGCTGCAGATGTGTGTAAGACCACAGTATATTCCATAGCATTGTGTCTCTGCGTGTGTGTATGTTACAGATCCATTAAGGTCAAGCTGGGAGTCCACAACGTGCAGCAGGAACAAGGTCAGGAAATGCTTGTGAAACAGGCATTTCCACATCCAAATTATGATAAAGAATATAATAATGATATCATGCTACTCAAGGTAAAACTCCAAGCTAGGACCTAAAGCTGAGCATATTGTTTTTATTTTCACCTACACAAGTGAAATTGTGCATGCACATTGATGTCACTACAATGTCAAAGTATGAAATTGATTTGTAACAAACAGTTAACCACCATTAAATTAACCACCAGGCTTGCTGAGTAGACAATAGAACCAAGGATGGAAGTTGTAACATTAGACAACCCTGCTCTCTCTGCCTCCAAGCTGGAGGGGAATACGGTTTTCACTGACCGTGTGAGACCCATTGGCCTCCCGCAGACAGAAGATGAGGAGGTGCCCAAGGACTGTCTGGTGTCAGGCTGGGGACACACTATCAGGCGAGTAAATAAAGGCTGCCCTGTGCTACAGGACCTCAACGTGACACTGGATGAGAATCAACTTTGCTCTGACAACCATCAGGTCTGCTCATCAGGACTAAATGGACCTGCTCCGGTAAGTGGCGTCTGAAAGTATATAATATTACAGGGGAAATAACATGGGAGGAATTAAAGAAAATGATAGTTTCCCCTTGGTTTGAGAGCATGAATCATTCCAAGGAAAATGTGCCTTTTCATTTGCCTGGCTACCCAAACTCCTTACTTTGGCCAAACGCTATGCCACGCCCATGGACATTAGTTTGTTCTCCACAATTAGTCTGTATCTGAGTACCTCCCTGATGATTTCTAGAACGCAAACACATTCTAATCGTTCTGATTGGTCCTAGAAAACGATGGGTTGGGCCAAAACACACGTGGGTAAAGGGGTCTTTTGAAAATTCGGAATTGGCTGTGATTCTCTAATTCAGTGTTTCTTAATCCTGGTCCTGGGGAACCAAAAGGGTGCACATCTTAGTTTTTGCCCTAGCACTACACAGCTGATTCAAATGATCAACTCATCGTCATCTTTGATGATTTGAAACAGGTGTGTAGTGCTGAGGCAAAAACAAAAATGTGCACCCCTTTGGGTCCCCAGGACCAGGATTAAGAAACCAATCGCTGATTACTTTGTTTTGTACAACACCCCTCATTGACTTCAACTATGGCAGTCTCAGACTGAAGTATGTAGTGAACATAGAGCAGCGGAAGAATTCCGTTTTTCATTTGTTCAGTATTGTGGTCTATGTGTGTTATTTCCAGGGAGACTCTGGTGGTCCATTAGTCTGTAATGGTGTGGCCTATGGGGTGGTGTCTACCAAGACTAGAGACAACACCTACATCTACATGCGCATCCCTGACTACCTGGACTGGATCAATGACACCATGAAGAATTGATATGCCACTGACCAGAAACATTTTGTTAATTTGGCCACCCAGGTGCCTAGAACATGATTATGATACTGTGAAGAATCATAATGTGCTTATGATGCTTTCTGATTGATTTACCAGTGCTGGTTAATGTCTTTGCCCAGAGCCGCCTCTTGCTATACGGATACTTTTTTTGTTATTTTTTTGTTTGTTCTTTTTTATTCAGTGAGAGCTAGAAAAGTAGAATACACAAGTTGCCATTTTGAAATTTGGTAGTGCATCAGCTGTTTTCCACTTGTTATGTCAGTCACTGACAGTCACTCAATTAACCCATGCCAGCTAAAAAATGTATTGCTAGGTAAGGTAGTCTAGCCAGCTATCTAAACCTTGTAGAAGGCCGCATCATCACCAAATTACCGACCGGGCACGCAGGGCATGTGCCCAGGGGCCCTGACCTCCAGGGGCCCCCATTGATTTTGTTAATCACTCTCACACAGATATCCTATTTTTATATTTGTATTTATTAGGGATCCCCATTAGCTGCTGCCTTGGCAGCAGCTACTCTTCCTGGGGTCCAAACACATTAAGGCACTTACATCACACAAAACAAAATATAAAACAGTACATCATATAACATTATTACACCACTACATATCTACAATATAAAATGTATAATACCACCATACAACAATATTACAATGTACATGTGTGTAGAGTGCATGTGCTAGCGTTTGTGTGCGTCTGCGTGTCTGTACCTGTGTGTATGTCTCTTCACAGTACCTGCTGTTCCATAAGGTATATTTGTATCTTATTTTTTTAAAATCTGATTCTACTGCTTGCATCAGTTACCTGATGTGGAATAGAGTTCCATGTAGTCATGGCTCTATGAGGTACTGTGTGCCTCCCATAGTATGTTCTGGACTTGTGGATTGTGAAGAGACCTCTGGTGGCATGTCTTGTGGGGTATGCATGTGTGTCCGAGCTGTGTGCTAGTAGTTTAAACAAACAAGTCCCTCTTTGTGGCACCTGACCACACGACTGAACAGTAGTCCAGGTGCGACAAAACTAGGGCCTGTAGGACCTGCCTTGTTGATAGTGTTCTTAAGAAGGCAGAGCAGCGCTTTATTATGGATAGACTTCTCCCCATTTTAGCTACTGTTGTATCAACATGTTTTGACCATGACAGTTTACAATCCAGGGTTCAATCAATCAATCAATCAATTTTATTTTATATAGCCCTTCTTACATCAGCTAATATCTCGAAGTGCTGTACAGAAACCCAGCCTAAAACCCCAAACAGCTAGTAATGCAGGTGTAGAAGCACGGTGGCTAGGAAAAACTCCCTAGAAAGGCGAAAACCTAGGAAGAAACCTAGAGAGGAACCAGGCTATGAGGGGTGGCCAGTCCTCTTCTGGCTGTGCCGGGTGAAGATTATAACAGAACCATGCCAAGATGTTCAAAAATGTTCATAAGTGACAAGCATGGTCAAATAATAATCAGGAATAAATCTCAGTTGGCTTTTCATAGCCGATCATTAAGAGTTGAAAACAGCAGGTCTGGGACAGGTAGGGGTTTCGTAACCGCAGGCAGAACAGTTGAAACTGGAATAGCAGCAAGGCCAGGCGGACTGGGGACAGCAAGGTGTCATCATGCCCGGTAACTCCAAGCACCTCAACTTGCTCAATTTCCACATTATTCATTACAATATTTAGTTGAGGTTTAGGGTTTAGTGAATGATTTGTCCCAAATACAATGCTTTTAGTTTTTGAAATATTTAGTACTAACTTATACCTTGCTACCCATTCTGAAACTAACTGCAGCTCTTTGTTAAGTGTTTTTATGAGACATAAATCATAAATGAGACATAAATCATGGAAAAATGTGTAGAATTGTAGGAAATTAGCTGTCAATGCCCCTACATGCAGTAACAATTGAAACCTCTGAATTTCCATCTGTCAAACAATGCTTTCAAGTCCTGTTCTGTGCTGCAGCAGTTTTAAATCTTACATTATTTATTGTGGGATTAAATTAGTAGAGTTGATGTTATTGGAGACATTTATTTTGTGAATATCTGAGCAAATGTGGTTTTATCAAGTTGTCCCTTCACCAGTAAGGCAACAATCATATTTATAGTAGATGCTTCACTGCATTGAGCAGTAAATTGAAAAGAATGAGCAGTAAAATACATTGAACACACCAAAGATCTTTGAGACAAGACTGCCCCCTTGTGCACATCTGGATAACATACCGTCCATGTAAAATACATTAAAACGGTCTGGAATGTCTTTTGAGGGCATTAATTGCAATAAATGAAGGAAAGAATGTCTATCATGATGACTACCAATGATATTCCTAATATTGTGACAAACAAAAGAGATTAAAACGCCAGAAGAAAAGTCAAATTTGAGATTCCCGAAAACCGGGTTAGGAGAATTTAAGCAGCAGGTTAGGATAATTAACGTACCAGGTTAGGATAATTAGAGAAAATGCTCTCCTAAACTGCTATGAAAAGTCACTTCCGGTCGTAGCTGTATCGAAGTGGCGTGTTTTTAGACAGTTCCATTGTTTAATGCCGATTGATAGCAAAACACCCCTCCCTACCTAACCTACATCATATTGAGCCATTATATTAGTCCTGGCATGCCAGTCTTCTTGATCTGTTGAATACTGGCGAATCATTGGGTTGATCAGACCACAGGTAGACAGGATACTCCTGAGTTTCAGGGTAGTTTCTGTCTGCACACGCAATGTATTTTTCACAGAACAAACAGCCCCCTGCTGAAACGAATTGTTTTATCCTTCAGCTGCAGTTTAATCCACAACTTCTCACGATACTTTCCAGAAAATAATGATCTCATGTGGGTGTGTTCCAATAGCCAGCATGACTTCAACATATTTATTATTTGTAGCTCAATTGGTAGAGCATGGCGCTTGTAACGCCAGGGTAGAGGGTTCGATCCCCGGGACCACCCATACGTAAAAATGTATGCACACACGACTGTAAGTCGCTTTGGATAAAAGCGTCTGCTAAATGGCATATTATACTATATTAACTAGCAGGTGTGAGTGTCCCTTAGACGATATCATTTCTACCCAGATAGTCCTTTCAATATCTCATAAATATATCTATCAAGTCACCTCTTTTTGAAAAGCTTGCAAATGAGAATAGAAGAATATGGATATGCCCATGTAATGTAGCCTATATCAAAACAAGCAACAGAGATTTGTAAAGGTTTTTTTATTTAGGAAAAATACAACCATGAAGATACAGAATGCTTAAAAAAAAATCAAATACAAAACCAATCTGATGCTATGACGAGAACAGTTGTGAAGTCACTCCATTTGTACCCTCATAAAAAGTAGGTTTGTTGAAAAGAGCTCATACGTAGTAGTTATGTTTTAGAACTGGCCCGCGTCACATTAATTCAGCGCTGTGTACTAAACTGTCGTGTGACAGTTCCTTATTCAAAATGTGCAGCTAATAAAATAAAAACAGTTCTCAGTAGAAACCAAAATAAATTAGAAGAGAACCTGCCATAGATAGGTCAGTGAAACAACAGATCAGAGATCCAGAAAACAATTGAGCAGGCCCTCTTCATTTACCGGAACCCACAGCGATCCTAACAAGCCCAGTGGACTAGAGAACGTTTGGAGAACATCTCTACCATCCCTCCCTCTGTCAGGTAGAACAGTGCAAACATGATGGTGGTGATGGAAGGTTTCAGACCTTTGTGTATATTTCCCTCATTCAGACTCATCACCGGGTGGCAAAGCAGTCACAATCAAATCAACCAAAATAAGTGCAAGCATTTTCGTACTTTGTTACAGAGCAGAGCTTTAAAACTACAAAAGCGTTACCATTCTCTATCCAAGTTACATTCCCTGTCTTTCAGGCTGTGCCTCTTCCGTGCACAGCCCAAAGTGAGGCAACAGCCTACAGCACATGAGCCTTGCTCTTTCGAGCTCCCCACAAAAACTGTAAATGAAAATGTCGTTCTCTGCGGTTTTCAATAACAAATAAGGAGGATCAGAAAGTAAAAAACAAAAACTTGGAACAGACCGGTGGTGGGTGGCTCGGAGTGCAAGCCAGCCCTCCCCGCACTTATCCAGGACTGCTCTTATCTACATGGTGGGTTTCAGAAGAAGATTTAAAAGTGTCGCGGAGCAGCAGGCGCTGGGCTAGGACCAGGCCAGGCCCGCCGTCATCGGGATGGGGCCGCCGGTTCGGGGTGAGGGGCCGTGCCCAGACGACAGACATCCGGACGCCACTGTCCTACCAGCCGCCCTCGTCACCTGCAGAGAAGTTGGAAAGACACACACAGGTTACCTTGATTCTGTGGATGGTAGGGGGCTCATCTCTCGAAAGGGGCCCTGCTGCTACTGAACGCTAATTCCTTTTGAAGATACTTAGATGTGGTAGCAAATTATGCTGGTGTGAATGACATTTTCTATGACAAATACTCTATCTGAAAGCAGGCCATCTGATTGAGAACTTTTTTGTTTCCATTCAGCAAGCGCAGTCAATCTCTGCTCGATGAAAGAAATCTTACGTTGGCCTATTCCATGGACAGAAAACTTTCAGAAAAAAAACTAAAGAGCAGACAGATAGGACAATCCTGCTACTACTCTATGCAAATTACGTCAACCAGAAAGGTGACTGGCTCCATTGTGTGTGTGTGTGTGTGCAGATCCTTGTACTGCAAGGCAAAGAAGCAAAGGAAAATACACCTCTACAAAAAAGCTGCTACAAGAGAAAAAGCGTATGACAAGAAAAGCAGGAAGTAGAGCGCTAATGCTATGACCCCTGTAGGACAGCTCGCGCCAAGACAGTTGCAGACCGAGGTCAGCCTACCTTGGCTTTCTGCAGTGCTAAACTGGGCCTTCAACATATTGTTTCTTCAGTTCAACATATTTCAACTACAGGAGGCAGCCTCACTGTGCACCACTGATAACAGCACCGCCTGTTCAGAGAAGAGAAAGCCCAGTGGTTAATGACGAGGTCCCAGGTTCTCCAACAAGGAGGGAAACACAAGTAAACTAAGAACCATCTGCAGACCCTCTCTTCCACTGATGCTCCCTAAAGGAATGGATGCTGAGCTGAAGTGGTATCCTGGGTCTTTCCTATACCGCATACCTTTAATGAGCATCAAATGACTCCCATTTTCCAATACTAACCTGGTAGGGCATCGGTTTGTAGGAAATGCCCAGTGTCCACCACTAGGTTCACTTGCATTACTCCTCGTAATTCTTGAAGATGAATTATGTACCACATACTGTGAAACACCAAAAGCGTAACTTGGGAGGGTGTATTTCTCAATATGGCTGGGAAACAATGGGAACAGGGAACCCATTTCTCCATTACACATGACTAAAGAAAGGCTTCATGCATTGAGAAAATGACTAATTTCACTGATCTTTTCATCCATCAGTTGGCCCAAGACCATAGGAGGCAAACCTGGTCTGAGAGGAGCCCAGGCCAAGAACCTGCCTCAGCTCTGGTGTCGCTTGGCCGATTCCAAATCTATGGTAGCTTGCAGGGATGTGGCTGTCCAGGCACCAGATTGGCTGCCTATCCTGACTCCCTACACTTGTGTAAGCTTATAAGAAGCCTCACCATAGCTATCGTAGCTGTCTCTGTACGAACCTCCTGAACGATCTCCGTATCCTCCTCCTTGCGCTCTGTTGACAGAAGAAATGTACATCAGTAAACAAGAATTGGACGAGCAGAAGCAAGTTGAGTAACATCAAATTCAAAACGGTCTTCCTAAAAGTGCTTGCCTACTGTCAAAATGGGCACATAGCTTCTTAAAATGCATTGTGATTAACCTATAGGATCTATACTCTTCACCTTTCCTTTGTCTTCCTAAATTCTATCAATTGCCTAACATGCAGTAGCTATGTATATGCAAATGTTCATTTATGTTGCTGACGTGGTATATCATCACTATTCACCTGTCTTTGTTGTAGTAGCCTCTTTCTGATCCGTATGAGCCTCCACTTCTGTTGTCGTAACGTCCACCACCATATCCCCGGTCTCCACCACCTGTAATATAACTTGTGGTTAACAGCTGCCTCAAGGTAGGCTAAAAGCAGCCATGCATTCATCTTATGGTTAAATTAGTTGATAAGAGAATAACGAACACCACTCTTCAGTTTGGACATGCTATCAGTAGCCCAACAGATGTTTCATTCAAACATCTACAGCTACTAGACAACGGCAGCAGTCACTGCAAAACAAAAAGACATGGGGACGTAGGAGTGGTTATTAAGGATGAGGGACCAGAGGGGAGGGTCAGAGCATGGGTTACACGCACTGACTACTTCTGGTTAGTCACAGAATTCCAGGCTAGCTCAGGTGTGAGGAGGACATCTTTGTAGGGTTGGGACTGGGGTGTCAGTCATTCCAAGGCAAACGAGGGAGGGACACTCAAGGTCAGGATGCTGTAGGATAGAAAACAACAAACTTGCCTCGTGAGAAGCCACGCCCACCTCTTCCACCACCACCTCTGCCTCCACGGAAGTATCCTCCTCCACCTCCTCTGCCGCCTGAAGAGCCCCCTCGGAATCCGCCTCCGGACCTTCCACCGCCGCCACCGCCGCCAGATTTGCCGGCCTGGTCGACACGGATCTGTCTGCCATCAAGAGACTGACAGAGAAGGTTGGGGAAGATAAAATAAAGAATACACCATTAATATCGTCGTTGCACAGTCAAGACAGAGTTGTGTTCCAGGGCGGAGTTTAGGTTTAATTGTCACCTTGCCGTTCATGGCCAGCATAGCATCCTTGGCCTCATCTGGGTTCTCGAAGGTGACGAAACCGAAGCCCCTGGACCTCTGAGTTTCTCTGTCTTTAATTACAACAACTAGACAGAGAAAAAATGAAGTTAAAGACTATAGACACACAAGGCAACTTTGCAAGATGGGTATCATCCAAAGCATTTTCAAATAGTGGACCACTAGATACATTTTTTGAAAACAATTTACATTGCACCCAATATCCAACAGTTACAGTTGCTTACCTTCAGATATTTGCCCATATTTGGAGAATACATCTTCTAATGACTGTTCATTAGTGTCAAAGCTGAGGCCACCCACAAAAAGCTTCCCTTCGTCAGACATCCTTCCTTTTCACCACTGCAGAAGGAAAGAAATATGTTTATTATGGATGCAATGATTTAAATTGTTAGCAGCAGGGCCTTTGGCAGAAATTTGGATGGGCCAACGGGGGAGTATATATAATAATGTTTTTGTGGTTGTTGTTGCTCAATCTGATTAGGTTGGCCAGGCTCCCTAGGTCCACCCATGCCTACGCCCCTGGTTAGCAGGTTATTATTGGATGCAAACCTCTTCATGTTCTATTCTTGCAATGGTGCAAATGTAAAAACAATAATAATAAAAAATAGTGCAAATACACACGCAATAACACAAAAATGTAATTCTAACCGTTGATTTGGCATGATTCTGTTTTGTATTTGTACCCAAAGCCAAGTATGTTCTATTACCAAAATCAAGGTAGCCTAGCAAGAGTTTGATATAAACCAGTCAAGTGCCAGCAAGTGAAGCACAAATGCATATTGGGGGCTTAGCTCATAAAGGCCCAAGACCACCCTGCCCCCTCGGTAGCTAGCTTGTGCTGCCCTCCCGTCCACCCTTCCCCAATATACCGTACCTAGCTAGTTTACGGCACCTAGCCAATGAAATTAGCGTTTTCGCAACAACAAAAAGCGGTCATCGCTCCACAAGCAGATGAGTGGGTGCGATTCAGTTTACCGTTTTTATTCCAAATCAGTAAGCGAACTCGTGTATTTGCAAAATAAATCGACGTTTTCCCCGCCCCCACATGTCCTAGGCCTAGATGCAACTCCCTTTGTTCAACATTGTCCAACAACCACAACGGCGCCATTTATGAGTACTAATCGCCACCGACTTGCCAGCTATCACTGCGTCATTGCATCGACTAACGTTAGAGTACGCTCGCTCGCATAGCAAAATGTAGACATCGGCTTTATTTTGGCGAATGCAATATCATTGCACACCACAATATAATTGTCGATAAATCGGACACAATAATGTACTATCGTGAGGATGTTATCGTAGGCTACCTGCTCGCTAGCTAAATCTTGAGCCACGGTCAGGCTCCTCCTCGGGTGATGTCAGACACTAATTTAGCGTGCCACTAGCTTAGTGGCTCCTGTCCCGAATTAAATAAAATACGTTCACCAACACGAACATGTATAAAATATTATTACAATCTCTTACCTCTGACAAAACACTGAGAATCTATTGCGACCGACCTGCAGCAGATGGGAATGAATGAGATGCGGGGCCTCCCGGTATATGTATTGACGTCCCTTGCAGTTACGCCCATCTTATGAATATTCAGAAGATAAGACCCTCCACTGGCTCAAGGAAAATCATTAAAGATGTATTTTTTATCAAAGTAAATATTTATTAAATTGGAGGATCAACTACTCCAGTGAGTAGTCCTGAAACAGTCAATTCACCATCAGAAATATATTTTCGTATGCACTGTACTACAACTAAAAGTTGACATTACAGGAATGTCCTAATAAGAATATGCAACAGATACGAAACCAATTTGAAAAAATATATATTTAATCCATTCATCAATTTCCAAGACTGTTCATTTGAGTACTTTACACAATAATGTCAACATAGTCGTGTATGCTGGTAATACAGGTACTGCATTGGCACACCAGAATGACAATCCGTTTGGTAAATGTCATGGAGATAGTATAGTGCATATCTGAATACCAGATTTGATGTCCAAGGCAGGTCTCGACTAAACAACAAGTCCAGTTCAGCAGCACATCTCTAATTCGGTCTTAAAGATTTCTCTCCTGGTGGCAATTTTCCAAGGAGCTGTTTGCCATTTCTAGGCAAACCATCCTGTGGTGAACCTGGAATAAAGTTAGAATTAGTCAGAGAAGAAATACAGTAAAATGACAGATGAGGACTCCTGTACTACATTCTGCACTTCTAGAATTGTAAACTCAAGTCAGTTGCACCATGTGGACTATATGCTACCGTTAATAGTTGACAGATCAGCAGCATGCATCCCAATTCTCACCAAGTGTGTACTTCTCCCCACATTTAAAAGCAATGGATTGGTGTAAGCATATTCTGTAGGGAGTTTCCACCACAAGGCCGTAGTCACTGGGATTGGAATAAAAAAAAAAAAAAAGAACTCTGTCCTTCGACGAATGCAACTCTTCCAAACACGTCCAAAAGTTGACTTGTACCTTTGATGGACAAACAGACAATGTAGGTCGTATACAATTTCATCAGTGTTCATGTATCTGAGTGGGATCGTAGCCTTACAAGCCAATTTAAAACATGCACTGGTTGTATATTGTAAATATGAACCCTTCCTTGAGCGATACCTGATCTCAGACTGAAGGACAGGTAAAAGCAGGGTTCCACAACACTGCTTTCACCAATAGATTTGTCGGATCAGTGATTACGTAATTTTTAGGTGGAATGTAAACAGGGCCCATGACTTCAGCTCAAAGGCATTCAGTACACGTCAGAGGATACCCACCTCCAAGGAAGCACTGGAACGAACCAGTCAGCGTCGAAGTACCCAGGCCTCGTGTTAGAGCAGACTTTCACATACGACGCTTAGTTCAACCTGATCGAGTAACGAGAGAGTAATTAGTTGAGTACAGCTTTTGCGGGCAACAATATGACATGCATTTGCTTATCATTAGCAACATGAAGAACTAGATGTGCTGAACAGCATTACACTTTTAGCATTAGACAGTGTTATCCTATCAAAGTTGATTGAATGTTAGACATTTATACAACACAAATTACATAGTGATAAACCTCACAAGCAAAAGTAGAAAGGCGATATCTGTCTAGAATTTAAAGGTAGACTCAGCGATATGACGTAGATGCAGAAAGTGAACATCATAGTGGGTCAATTTCCGCAACTACTAAGAGCATTGAAGCACGAGGCTCAACTTCTCCGCTGTTATGGTGCCCTGGCTAAAACACTGAAGCAAACCCATGCACAGATACTGTGTGACCGAATGAAGTCTCTTTCATCCCAATATCTGCGCTTCTGCTTGTGGCAACGTAATTTTGCTGAGTCTACCTTTAAGATGAAGACAACTTTGCAATCACTGGGAGAACAGTACTTGCACAAAGAGATCAAAACTGGGAGGATCTTGTTTTACACTAGGGATACTTGAGCAATGAGGACTTATGGAATTTTCAAAAGCTCAATGGTCATTTTCAGAGTCTCTAGTAGTCCATGGTCTATGGGGGACAGGGTGAAAATTCTCCACAAAAAACAAAAACAGGATACGCTACTGGACGTACTCATGCAACTCGGGGTTCTGAAAAGTAACGGCTAGGGCCTGAGGAAGTGACAGCGGTAGTTGGGCAAAGTTGAAGGTAGATAAGATGGACATCAAAATGAGAACTTTGAGGGATGCGAACAGGAGAGCAAAAGTCTTTACCTCACATTACTGGCCTATTTCCACTTATGAACTAGCCAAGAGAGCAGCATTCGCCAGAGAGGATTGACGTGTCGGTAGGCACAACACTTCATTCTCCAAGGACTTTGTTGAGTTCCAAAACGATAGTAGAGCTCTTGGGCGCAATGAAGCATTATAAAATAACCAGTGCCAGCACCAGGATGACATTTCATTTCTATTCTGCTTTCAACACCCCCCCCCCCCCCCCCCCCCCCCCACACACACACACAATGACTAGCTTCAGCATCATGGTAGATCTTTTAGCAGCCTCTGAGTATTAATTCAGAAAAAGTCCCAATATTCCCAAAGACCATTACACCCAGCCACCCTTCCAAAATGAGATCCCGCCTTTCAGAATACCCTTTCCAGCAGAGACTATGCTATAATTTCTCTCAAACCACTTACTACATCTCTCCCTACCAGACTCGCATTGCATAACATTCAGCTGGCTCAGTGTGAACAGGCTTAAATTCTTTGAAGGCACAAGAAATCAGAGCATTTTCAACGGATTGTTTAATAGGCTTCATGAAGCCAGGATATACAAAAAAAATAGAGGTGTTTGTACACAGAACAGAGAGCACATATCCTTGAAGTAACATTGAGTGATCGTGAATGTTCAGTCCATCGTCGAGCATATTATGCACGTTTGAGAAGAGCAAAGTACCTTAGGCCAACTGCAGAAGGCTGCAAACACCTAGTATGCCTTTCAATTAAATGAAGTTGGTTCGCCAGTCAAAGTCATTCACTCTTTGGATACTGAGTATTTACAAGTCTTTAGCAATATCAAGGTGGTCTGCTGGAAACCGGTGCTCCCACTTAGCATTCCTACCTTGTTACACTAAAGGAATGCATTACAGAACTGAAGGAGCACATCACAGCTTGTCAAGCTTCTAGTGTAAATTTCATAGATCGTTTTGTTAAAAAGACCAGAATTCACAACTCCAGTTAAAAATAAGCTTAAATGGAAACATGTCACTACTGATATTTGAGTCTTCCGATTGAGCAGGAACATGGTCAAGACTGAATTTGTCTTAGAAGCTATCAGGCTGTGTTGAACAGATTACGATTCAACGGTGGAAACAGGTTTCATTGCAAATAAAGCCATTAATGATCTAATTTGATTCTCCCAGTGTCCATTCTTCCTGCAACACCAGGAGGGCATACTGAACTTAAGGTACTAAGACCCTTAGTGAGCGTCAAGGCTTACAGTAATAAAACGCTACAGGATGACAGAGATCCTGTAGAACACTTTCAACACAATAAAAAAAAAAAACTAAAGGTACTGCCAAGTTTGTTAAAGAAAACACTAGAACCAGATACCACAAACAGAAGGAAAAATTGTCTTCGAAGAGAGCATCTTTTAAAAAACAGCCAGCGAAGGGACGATCTTGCAATCAGGAAGTTTGTTTTTGTTTTTACTCGTGTGTAGCTGAGGACAAGAAGAAGCCACAAGTGTAAAGGCACTGCAGCATTCGGACATTTCTCACACAGTAGACTAGAACCTATTCATATTTTGTGCCACAGTTCTCATAAGGTTCTCATTGCAACAGTATAGCATCAGGGCAAGGGCCATTGGAAGTGAACTTATGCCTCTTCAAAAGAAAACTGACTCAGCGAAAAAAATCTAGAAATGTCTTTCTGCTTCTGGGTGGGTGGCAGAGAGCTGGATTTTTGAGCAGACGTGAGTATTTTAACATACTAATCCAAGAGGGCACAGGCTTTCGCATACTGAGCAACAAAGTCTTACAGGGCCATTCCTGGAGTCTATGCACTCATGTCCAGTCCGTACTAAACATTTCTAGTCCATACCTACAGTGAGATCATGGCAACTAGGCTACATCATTATACTTACCATAGCTGTCATAGCTGTCTCTGTAGGATCCCCCAGAGCGGCCACCGTAACCACCATCTCCTCCACTCCTAAAAAAAAGAGCACATATGAATGCTGGTTAACTGAAACCAAGGAAAATACATTGGGTCAAGTACATGATTATGCTAGAAATACAACCTCCGTAGCTCAAATCATATTAAAACCATCTGACTGATTACTTAATAGTCAGCACTTAGTTTAATGGTCTTGTTTTCTCTAAGTCTTACCTGCCCTCTCTGTAACCTCCGCTACCACCCCCAGAGGAGTATCCTCCTCCACCACCACTCCTGTAGCCACCACTGTAACTTCTGTCTCCTCCTCCGCCATAGCTTCTGTCACCCCCATAGCTTCTCTCTCCTCCACCATAGCTTCTCTCTCCTCCACCATAGCTTCTGTCTCCTCCACCATAGCCGCCACCACCTTGGACAAAAAGAGGATTTCAGTCAAAGGCCCTTTAGTTTGGATCAAGGTAAACAAAAAAAGGAGGGGCGTGACTTAGAGCAAATGGAAACTAACCACTTTGCAATGCCAGCCCTTACCTCCTAAATAACCATGCCCACCTCTTCCTCTGCCTCCTCTGAAGCCACCAGAACCGCCCCTGAAGCCACCAGAACCCCCCCTGAAGCTGCCGCCACCACCACCACGGTCAGATCTTCCTCCCGACTTGCCTGCTTCATCCACACGGATCATTCTGCCATCGACAGACTGAAGAACAGGGGGGGTAATCAATTATAATATCAGTGATTTATATCAGTCAAAGATCTTCATGTGTCTGGGGAAAGAATCCCCTCACCTTGCCATTCATTGCAACCATTGCGTCTTTGGCATCTTCAGGGTTTTCAAAAGTCACAAAGCCGAAACCCCTGGACCGCCGCGTCTCTCGGTCTCTGACAACATCGACTGGAGAGAATAAAAACATCAACCACACACTCAAAATTTACACAATATGACCAAAGTCCACTTGAGGCGGCACAAGAAACTTTGCTTAACAGGGACCTGGAGAGGCAACATACCTTTAGCAATGTTTCCATACTTGGAAAACGCCTCTTCCAGTGAAGTTTCATCTGTGTCAAAACACAATCCTCCAACAAAAAGCTTCCCTTCGTCAGACATCTTGGATTATCTAAAGAGAGAAGAAAAAACATTGTCTGGCCTACAAACATTGTTTAGAAGACATTCACTGTTTGAAGAATGTGACCATGGAAATTCTTATTTCGTGTGAAAGACAACACATAATTTTACATATGGATGGCACCAGGAGAAGCGCTAGCCATGAAGCCATACAATTTAGGCGATATAAGGCAGCCATGTTTTACCCGTACAATAAATTAGCTAACGTTATGCATTCTCTATAATTTAGCTGGCCAACTTAACTAGTTAGTTACCTGGGAATCTGTGGGAAATTCAACCATGGCGACTAACCAAGTACCCACCATAACCTTTTGGTGGGTACCTTTTGCTGACGTTATCTTGATAGACGCTAGCCAAAAAACAGGCAGCACACAAACAAAGGATAGTTAGCCAACTAGCTAAGCGTTAGCAGGCGAACGTTAAACCAGTCACATTAGCCATTTAAATACACACAGTAAACACGACCTGGCCCAGATTTGGCCTACCCTGCAACGTCAGCTAGATTATTAGCTGGTAAATAGCTAACGTTACCTAAACAGCGGCAGTAAAATAACATTTGTTGCCACGCCGACGTACAAAAAGATAGCTAGCTACTTTAGCTTTAACGTTAGCTACCTAACGTTAGCTAGTGAAACGTGCATTAGCGGACGGCCATTTTGTAGGTAACATCTAACGACGTTGTTAGCTAGTTAACGTTGGCTAGCTACTAGACCGAATTTGACTTTGAAATACAATCCAGTTGTAACCGTAAATAATGTGAAAAAACAAGTCAACATTGGTACTCGAAATAGAGTAACGTTGCATGCCGAGTAAAGTCACACAGGAGGACTGGGGCCTAGTAATAATCATGGCTAACACTAGCTAGCTCGTTAACGTTTTAATCTCTTAAATTCCTTCATCGACATGAACACGTTGGCTTGCTAAATTGCAAAGCTAACGTTGATTAGAAAGTAATGTCAAAGTCAGTTATTTTCTATAGGAAAGCAAAAGGCATTGTTGAAATGAACAATGAAATGTTGGTACATTTACCCGATAATTATTAGAATTCAGTGAATATATAGTTACCTCTGTATGGTTTGGCGTCGTCTGAGAAAGATGTCAAAATGGCTCCTGTATATGAGCATCTGCGCGAGTCATGAATAAATAGCAAAAGGGGCGTGCGCATCACTGAGGTAAAATAAGAACGGTGTGCATGCCTCGAGAAGTTTTTGCGCAGTCCAGCCGGTGGCGGTAAAGTATCATGTAGTGGACAGGTAGGCCAAATAAAATAAAATAAATGTGGGTAGGCTAGGTATACTGTATTTTCATGTGTGGTATTATGTCATGATATTTCGACTACACTTGGTGAAAGAGTTGGACTGACAGTTGCAGAGTCCGTGCAAAGATTATTATAACTAACCCAAGATAGGACATCTGCGTCGTTTCCAAATTCGCTGCACTGGTGTCTGTATTGGGATGTTCTCTGATAAACCAAAAGGCTAGATTAAGTATACAAACCAAAGACAAAGGCCCAAATAATAAAACACTGAGATAAACATGCCATTCAAAATTCCTATACACCAGACCTGTCTGATCAGATTTACAGTTTTGCAGCCCCTCTGATGTTGCTGTTCTTGCACTAGACAAGACAGAGGAGCGTATTGGTGCCGACCACAGTCAGGCTATAAATACCAGAGCTGCCGGGCCAACGTGAGTGCTGCTATCCTCTGCCTTACCTCCTACACACGCTCTGCCGCTTCCTGTTCTTTACCACAGTTTTCCACCCAGCGCTGACTGCCTCACCGCCTCCTCATATTCTCTCTCTTTAAGCAAAATGCCATCCTTTCCACCCAACTGGATGACAGTCTCTCTCTCTCTCTCTCTCTCTCTCGCTCTCTCTCTCTCTCTCTCTCTCTGTCTTTCTCTGGTTTACAATGTCCCATTATTCACTCAGGGCCTCAAACCATTACTAATAATTCAAATTATGTGAGAGAAGAGTAAGGAATCCGAAAAAAACGTTCACATTTAAACTTGTCTAGTATGTGTGTCTGTGCAACCTCAATTAATTGTGGCCAATGTAATGCAGATGAGGTCAACATAATGTTTAATTCTAGAAAAGCTGCACTAACATACAATCCGACAGAGGGGGGCGCTGTAAATGCATGTTTTGATGGCCGGATGGCACCTGCCTTCTCATAGTGCTGGCTGGACCAGTGCTTCCACAGAGGTTCATTGACTGCAGCAGATAGTGCTGTGTCCTGGCAGTGGGCTCTCTGTTAGATTTTGATTGCTATTCTGTGGATGCAGCATTGCAGAGGCAGTGTGAGCCTGGATGTGTTCAGGCTTGGCTGCCATGGCGTGTTGTTTATCTCACATGATTATCCCACACAACACAGCTGTCTGCGGTGGTTCTGAGCACCATCGCCAAGCCTAAAACTGACAAGCAGAGCAAAGCAATACCTCTGCTAAAATAGGATAGCAATGGACAATGGACTTTTGTGGCATCATGATATATAATTTCAAAGATTGCTTTGATATGCTGTGCAATCAGAAGTCACTGTACCTAACAAAAGTACTAGCCCCAACCACATAAATAGCACGCCTTTCACATTCACTTCCCTTTTAAAGCAGTATAACACTGACCACACCTCCCAGAAGAGAAGAATACATCTACCTATGTTGAAAACATTCAGAGAGACAGCTGAAATAGCAGCTCCTGACACAAACCATGGCCCTGTGCCTTTAAGAGGTCAAATAAGATCATTTACATTTACATCATTTAGCAGATCACATTGTTATTCTGCTTGTGGAGGTGGATGGATAGTGGTGGTGATGAGGGTGGGGCGATGTGTAGAAGTCGAAACGTGTCTCCGGAGGCCAATATGGATTAGGGAGAGAGAGAGAGAGGGGGGGAAGGAGAGAGAGAGAGAGAGAGAGAGAAATGAAGACAGCAAGAGAAAGAGAGGATAGTCTTTTGAGTGTGTCCTCTCTGATTTATTGCTCTGCTATGATGGAAATTGATCATTTCCCCAAAGATTCTCCCAAGTGGTGTTGTGCCCTGACTAGTCAATTAGCAGACCTTTATTTCTGTCATTATGTTGAGACCACAGCTGATGCCTCAGATGCTACACTTCTCAGATTTCAGCACTGCAAGGAGAATTTGCTCTCGTCATTATAAAGCTAACCTCTCTCAACCATTGTTTTTGAGATGTAGGCCTATGCTGAAAAACGTTAATGCATTTTTTTTCACTCACCTTAGAAAGCCCATTCACAGCAGGCTCAATGCAATAAATCAATGTATTAAGTGTTAAGCAACATGCTGCAGTCCCTACCCCTAAGCGTAAAACTAGTGATTAAAGCTAATGGTAATTATAGAAATGCTCTATAGTGGTGCTAGTGTGAATTGAAGGGCTCACACAGATGAAGGAGGTGGAGGCTGGAGAGGGTTGGCAGTACTCCAAGTGGAGAGGAGGTGAGTCATGCCCAACTCAGACAGACTATCAGCGAGTGTGTGTGTGTGTGTGTGTATGTGCAGTGTCTAAAATCTGTACATGCGTATGTGTGTGTGTTTGTGTGTGTGTGTGTGTGCAGTGTCTAAAATCTGTACATGTGTATGTGTGTGTGTGCTTGTTCTCATTTGAGTGAGGATGTGTGTGTGAGCATGTGCCAGACATAGTGACTGTAGCCTTCTTTCTCACCCTGCGCCCAGTTCTCTCCAATGCCCAGTGGGAGTCATGGTTCATGTGACCTAGTATCAAACTGCTTAGTGGACCGAAGGAACCTGTAAGAACACAGAAAGTTTTTAGGTTAATCTGATTAGGAGAGGAGGTGAGTTTATGAGTCACTCACTGCGCACTCACTGCGCACACACACACACACACACACACACACACACACACACACACACACACACACACACACACACACACACACACACATACACTTGTATATTGGATGGCACATGCACAAGCACATTTGGGTAGGGTAAGATTTGAAAACACATCAGTGAGCATGTCAGTGACTCTCTGGCCCAATCCCAAATCGACCCCTAGACCCTACACTGTATGCACTTGTAAAGATCTGAGGATTTGACAGGTGTAAGCAATTTGGTAATAGTTCCAACTTGCCCTCTGATATGCTAGGTGGAAGTTTCACCATATTGCTTAGACCCATAAATTATCTTGAATCTCCACAAGTGCATAGGGTCTGGGGATCTATTTGGGATTGGGCCAGTTATCTTCCTTGGCCTCTATCTAACACCACCCAAAGGCACAGAGCGCACACTAAACCATGAAATGTCCCCTCTTATAAACACCAACACTTCTAGAGAAACAAAACCTATCGCTGATACTCTGCTGCTGAGTCAGTCTGTAAGTGTGAGCACCAAAATGGCAACATCTATGTATTCTATCAAGACAATGACTGAACCCAAGACCAGGAAGCCGCAGAGCGTGTGCGTAGGAGGTAAGGCAGAGGCTAGCAGCACTCACGTTGGCCCGGCAGCTCTGCTATTTATAGCACACACACGTTTATTTTACTCTCTTTGTGATGACCAAACAATTGATTCCCATTAAAAATTATATTTTCCCTAACCTTTAACCCTAAACCTAACCCTTAAGCTAACCTTAACCCCAAACCCCTAACGCTAACCCTAACTCCTAACCCCTAACCCTAATTCTAACCCTAATTGTAATCCTAAACCTAAACTTAACTCCTAAGCCTAAAATAGCCTTTTTCCTTGTGGGGACCGGCGAAATGTCCTCACATGTCCTAATTGTCCTTGTTTTACTATCCTTGTAAGGACTTCTGGTCCCCACAAGGATAGTAAAACCAAACACACACACACACACATACCTGGATTCCCACACTCATACTGTCACGGTTTCGGCCGAGGCTGCCTCTCTCCCTTGTTCGGGCAGGCTTCGGCGTTCGTTGTCTCCGGAATACTAGCTGCCACCGTTGTATGTTTCATGTTCGTTTGCTTTTGTCTGTTTGTTGTGACACCTGTTCTCGTTTAGCCTAATTAGTGTCCTATAAGTTTCTCGTTGTGTTTGTCTAGTGTTGTGTGTTATTGATTTTGGTCTGTCGTGTGTTGGGCTTATTTTCGCCCTTTCGCTCGGTTGAGCTTTCCTCCACTGCGTTGGAGTGTTACGCACCTGTTAGTGCGCTTTTGTTTATTCGCCTTCGTGCGTAATTGTTGCCTTCGGGCAAGTCGTGTCATATTTTCCTGTTTGGAGATTGACTAAAGTCTGTTGGACTATCCTTCGGTGTTCTGCGTTTGATTCCACCACTACACCCACCTACAGCACGCGTGACAGAATAACACACCATAAATGGAATCAGCAGGAGCCGCAGCAGCCCAGGCGACGCTGGAGGACAAGGTCCGTGAACAAAGTGACCAGATCCTGCAGATGGGGTCCGCACTGCAGGAGGTGATCACCACCATCCGAGGCTGGGGGACTCCTCCACCGCCATCCTCCCTGCCAGCACCATCGGCCAGTCAGCCCATTCCCGTTCCGGAACCCCGAGGAGTTCGACTCTCGCTCCCGAGGGCCTACGATGGGACCGCGGCCGGGTGTCAGGGATTCCTTCTCCAGGTGGAGCTGTACCTGGCCACCGTGCACCCGGCGCCCTCGGGACATGAGAGCGTGTCCGCCCTGATCTCCTGCCTTTCCGGGAAGGCGTTGGAATGGGCCAACGCGGAGTGGAGGAGGATCGACGCGGATACCATCACCTACGACGAGTTCTCCCGCCGCTTCAGGGCGGTGTTTGACCATCCCCCGGAGGGGAAAGCGGCGGGGGAGCGTCTGGTCTTCCTCCGGCAGGGGAGGAGGAGTGCCCAGGAGTTCGCCCTAGAATTCCGTACTCTAGCGGCAGATGCAGGGTGGAATGAGCGGGCTCTCGTCGATCACTACAGATGTGGTCTTCGCGAGGACGTCCGTCGGGAGCTGGCCTGTAGGGACACCAGCCTCTCGTTCGACCAGTTGGTCGACATGTCCATCAGGCTGGATAACCTGCTAGCTACCCGCGGACGTTCCGAGGGGGGTCCGTCCATTTCACCCTCCAGCGCCTCCGAGCCGTGCCCCATGGAGCTCGGGGGCGCTGGCGCTAGAGAGCGGAGGAGGAAGAGCCCGAGGGGGCCTGTCTCCT